GCCAGCGGAGCGGAGCCAGGGCCGAGCCGAGGGCTCCGAGGGCGCGGGCGGAGCAGGGCACGGAGCCATGGCGCACCAGACGGGCATCCACGGTGAGGGCGGATGGCGGGCGGGCCGGGGGCAGAGGGTCTCCACCCGCCGCTGCGCCCCCTCCCCGACTCCGGCTCCCGTCTCCTCCCGGGCACCAGCGCGGGGAAGCTTCCTGTTCTCTTTTGCAGCCGCGCATCGCCTGGGGTGGCACATCTGGGGGAGGGGGACTCAGTGTGCAGAGTTGGGAGTGGGTGTGAATGTAGGTACCCAGCTGGGGCGGAAGTTTCCGTGTTGTGTGTGCCCACGGGGCGTGGATGTGCCTGTGTGTGCCCATCTATGGGTCTGTGTGCCTCTCTGGGGGTGGGTGCACCCGGATGCGCACATCTGGGGGAGGGTGCACGCATGTTCACTTGCCTTGTGTGTGCAGCCCCCTGTGCGCCCACCGGGTGCACATACACTAGTGGCTGGTTGAATGGACACAGTAACATGGGACCATCTGTAGACATCAGTGTTTCGTGACTGCACACGTCTGTGGGTGTCTGTGTGCACAATCTGGGTGCATCTCGGTGTGCATTTGTTACCATGGATGCATGTACCGGGTGTATCTGTGTATGGCTTGTATGGGTTTGTGTCTGTCTGAGGAGGGGGTCCTGACCTCTGGCTCCTCCCATACTCCTGCAAGCTAGGCTGGGGACCCCGGGACAGGGCCCTCAGAGTGGGATGGGAGAGTGGCCGGTCTGACCTTGACCTCAGGTCCCCTCCATTTTCCATTCTGATCTGAGTCTGCCGGGGCCAGGCTTGGATGGTTCTAGTTCCAGGTTAGGAACATAGAAGAGGGTCCAAGTATGGGGTTTGTGGGGGGAAGGTCTTTGGCCCTGGAGACTCCAGGCCAGCTCCCCCCAAGCCCAAGCTCCTCCAGACCAGCATCACCCCCTTCCTCCAAGGGCCTCCGTTCCTCCTTGGACAGGCTGAGAGAGAGGCTGTGGCCAGGAGCCAGGTGTCCTGACCCTACCTGGGCCTCAGTGTCCCCCTCCACTGGCCCGGGCAGCTGCCTGGCCTGTGCAGAAGGTGCAGACTGCCTGCCCAGGGAGCCTGGTGGTTTGGCCATCAGCCACTCTTCCCACTGCACTAGGATTTCCCCCCACCCTCCCCAGGGCCACCATCGACCAGCCTGACCGCCTGCCTGGATCTCGGCTTGTGGTTGTGGCCACTTGCTGGCCAGACAGCCCTGAGGGTTTCCCTGGCCCCGTCCCCCAGGACAGCAGGCCTGGGCCTGGGTCAGGGCCAGCCACCCCCCCAGGTGGGCCAGCCTCTCCTGGGGAGGCGTTGTCCAGCCTGCTGGTGACTCAGCCCCACAGGAGAGAACAGTTGCCTGCTGTCCCTTCCTTCCCCTTTGCCTGGTCATTGCTGCTGCCCCAACAGAGGGAGGGGGGGCGGGAATCGGAAGCGAGGGTTCCTCCTCTGAGCTCCAGGCTGACAGTCCTGTGGTCGAGGCCCCACCTCACTCTCTCGTTTCCTCCTGCCTGTGAGCAGCCCACCCCTCATTGCGGGCCCTGCCCTGGCCATAGGTGTGAATCTGCTGACCTCAGAGCAGGGCAGGGGAGGGACCTGTAACCTGAGGCTCCCAAGTGGGGGGTGGGCAAGGCAGGGGGTGGGGCAGGGGGCATGAATCTTTGATGAGAGGCTCAGGTGTCCCAGGCTGGCCTCTGGATTATTGATGGTGGCTGAGGAGGCATGGGGGGTTGTCTCTTCCCCTTCTGGGGTGTCACTGCCCTGGTAACACTAGAAGGGACGTGTCCGCCCCTTTGGGAGAGCTGCGTGGTGGCCTTCCCTCCACCACACGGCGCCCGGAGGCCACTAGTTAGACAGTGAGTGTGTTAGTGGGGGCCCCTCACGGAGCACTTTCTCCCACTTACTCCTAACCACGGCCTCCGCGTGGGGGAGGCTGAGCCCCACATTATGGAAGAGTTTGAGGTGCAGTGAGGTCAGGGGTCACATACAGCGACGGGAAAGGTGGCACCCCAGAGGCCAGGTCTTCATCAGGGACCTGCTGGGGCTCTGCAGGTGGGTCGCTCTGCCTGGTCCCGTGGGGCTGTCTTCGTGTCGTGCTGCCCTGAGCACCAAGGGCCCGCGGGCTCAGCTGGGACCTGTCCACCCAGTGGCCTTGAGGGTGGTGCCCAGCCCGGCTCAGGCTCAGGTCGCCCTGCGGGAGGGGCACCTGAGGACGTGACCAGAGTGTGTTTCCTAAAGGCCCCCCCTTGCCCCCGAGCTCGGGCCCTATAAATACTCTCTGACCTCAGCCCTCCAGCTGTGTTCCTGCAGAATTCCTCTGACCTCTGCAGAGCCTCAAGGTCATGCTGGCTGGCCCTGTGCACCCAGAGACCACGTCGGCCCTTCCCGACTCGGACCTGGGTTTCTCCCTGAACCGCAGTGGGTCTGTGACGTCCCATGGTTCCTAGCTCCGACGAGGACCCTCACCTCTGCACTCGGGTCCCGTCATTGGCTGTCACCTCCCAGCTCTGTGGCCCAAGGACCAAGACAGAGTCTGTTCTGAGGAGTTCCTGAGAGTCACTCCTCCTCCATGAAGCCTTCCAGACTGCCCGGGGGTGGGAGCTGGTTGCCTCCCTGTGTCTGCGCATGCCTGTGTGGGTCTGTGTAGCTTTATACATCCTTTGCCTGCAAACATGTCTTCTCCAAGCTCTGCGTGGGCCAGGTGTGTGTGTGTGTGTGTGTGTGTGTGTGTGTTAGAACCCCGGGCATGGTGGCTGGGTGTGTGTGCGAGTCTAAAACGCGTGTGTCCATTTGTGTGAGACCAGCTGAGCGTGTGCTCGTGGACGGGGGTGTTGGCATTCACACTCCTCTGCCACCTGCACGTGTTGACGTGTTACGTTCACATGCTGGGCTGAGTATGTACCTGTTTGTTGCTACATGCAACATGTGCATGTGTGTGCATGTACACACGTGTGTGTCAGTGGGCATAGTGGTCACCGGGGAACTGTCCACGTGTTTCTGTCTGTGGTTAGGACAGTACTGAGTGTCTCCCTGTCCAGCTCGGCGCTGGCCTTCCTCCCACCGGCCTGGCCTGCCCCAGAGCCCGCCCCCCTCCTCGATGGGCTGCTCCGTCCCCGCTGCCCTGTCACCAGAGCGCCTCCAGCCAGGCGGCCACTCACCCGCCACCTCTGCTGGCTAAATTTGGGAGCTTATGTTCAGCCAGCTCGGGTTCCCGATCACATGGAGGGCTGTATTTAACCCGCTCCCCGCTCAGCCACCAGACCCCGCAGAACGGAGCAGGCCCGACCGTGTCCCTGCCCGTGTCCCTGCCACCCTGCCCACCACCACTCACCCTGCCCACCACCGCTCATCCCACCATGTTTCTTGTACTTGTAGCCACCGAGCAGCTGAGGGAATTCTTCGCCAAGGCGCGGGCCGGCTCCGTCCGGCTCATCAAAGTCGTCATTGAGGATGGTGAGTGCCCCCTGGGAGCGGGGACGGAGGCCGGGCGCTGGACTCGCTGCTTCCCTGGGAGGTGGGGACACTGACCTCCAGCCCACTCAGGGCCTCAGTTTCCCCAGCTGGGAACGTGAGGGACCTGTAGAAAGCGCTGGAGGCGGCGTGGTCGTTACCCCGTTAAACAGCAGGAAACTGAAGCTGAGGGGTAGCAGGGCGGGCCCGGCCCGGGTCCTGCCCCCCACAGGCTGTGCCGGGAGAAATGGGCTGGGCAGGGGGCAGAGAACAAGCCAGACCAGGCCCTGCCCCATGTGGCCAGTGCCACTCACGTCCATCGGTGGCTGGCAGGCCGAGACCGGTGTGGCTGCTGGCCCGGGGGAGTCCTACGGAGAAGCCTCAAAAAATGCCCCACAGAGGGGAGAAGGACTCTGAGGTCCAGATGGGTGGGTTCTGGGCTTGGCTGGGCCTCGGCCTGGACCTGGGGACATGAGCTTATGCAGGGGGCGGGGGAGAGTTTGAGCTGAGCCCGGAGGGGGGAGGGTTTGAGGAGGCAGAGGAGTAGATGACGCTTGTGGTGCCAGAACAGAGGGCTCCTCTCCTCCGCTCCCCGCCCGTCTGTGCTGAGGGGCTGTCCCCGGAGCTGAGACTAAGACTCTGGGACTGGGAGTGGGCTGCCCCCCGCCCTACAGGTCCTCCCAGCCCTGCATTAGCGGGCCCTTAGGGGGGCCCCCCGAACGGGCTTGGTGCCCAGATGGCTTTTCATGCATTGAATTGGCTCAAAGCAGGGTCTGCCCAGGCTGGACGTCCCCACAGACGCTGAGCTGGAAGACTTGGGGGTGGGGGGGGCGCGTACCATCCCAGTCCCGCATGCGGGGTTTCCAGGCCCCCCAACAGGCAGCCACTGCCGTCTCCACCTGAGTGTGGCCCACTCCCGAGTTTTCTAGAGAAACCAGGAACTCCCCTTCTTACGTAAAACTCCCCGGCGTGAAGATGGGGCAGCATAGTGAAGGGCGCTGGCAGTGCTGTCGGCCGACTCAGCCTGCGACCCTGGCTTCCGACCCGGGCCCCTCCGAGTTGCGCGAGGGCAGGCTGGGCTGCTGGGCCTGGCATTTGGGGCCCGGTAGCAGGTGCCGGGACCCCTGGCCAGGGCGTGATTGCCCCCTCGCCTCGCCCCGTGGGCTGCAGCTGTGAGCCTGCCTCCTGAGCACATCTGTTCTGAGAGGCTGTGCGGGGGGCGGGGGCGCGGATGGAGCAGCGAGCTGGTGGCTGGTGGCCGTGAGGGCCGCACTGTTGGTGGCGGTGGGCACGCGTCTGTGTGTCTTCCTGTGATTGTGCCCAGTCCTGTGCGGGCATCACCTCGGCCGTCTCCGTGCGTGTGCGGAGGAAGCAGACCCTAGTGGGCAGCTTGGTCGCTCACTCACTCGTGCTCGCCCTTCAGGGACTGGGGGCCCCAGGGAAGGTGGGGAGGGTGGCCAGAGGCTGGA